ATTACAATCATGAATGCAATAGGCTAGCGCACAGAACACTAGGCTGAATGCAAATGCACCCAGAGAAGTTGGTTTCCTTATCACATCTCTGAGAGCTCCTATTACTGACTTGGGTTCTGATTGCCAAATGGTAGTATACATTTGCGTACAACCAGACACACATGGTTGGTCAACTTTTTGATTCTAGAGACCCAATCTCTACTACCTTCTGCCCTAAAAGAACTTTATGAAGATTCATATGATCAAAATGGGGTAACACAAGCGTAAGAATAGACATAAAGATCAATGTTAAGTCCAGAAATGGACCTATACATATAAGGTCAAAATAGTTCAACAAAGGTGCCAAATGTAATACAAGAAAGGATAATCTTTTCAATAAATGGTGCTGGATGATTTCCATTAAAAACAAAAACACACCTTCTCAGTATATACAACACACAAAAATGAACTCAAAGTGGATCTAAGACTTATGTGAGAGCTAAACCTATAAAACTTCTGAAAGAAAACACAGGAGAAAATCTTTTAGTTAGGCAAATGCTTCTTAGACAAGAAAGAAAAAGCACAAAACATTAATGAAAAGTTGACAAATTAGATTTCAGTGAAATGAAAATCCGTACTTCAAAAAAAAAAAAAAAAAGAAAAAGAAAAAGAAAACCACAATGCTAAGAAAACAGACAAGACATAGATTGGGAAAACATATTTCTAACATATCCAAAAATGGACTTGTACCCAAATATACACAGAACTCAGTAACAAAAATAACAACAAAAACATGGGCAAGAGATTTCAAGAAACATTTCAACAAAGATATAAGAATTGCAAATGGGGCCCAGTGCTGTAGCTTAGTGGGTTAAGTTGCTATCTGCAGTGCCAGGATTCCACACGGGTGCCAGTTCACATTCTGGCTGCCCAGTTCCGATCTAGCTCCCTGCTTATGTGCATGAGAAAGCAGAAGAGGACAGCCCAAGTCCTCGGGCCCCTGCACCTACATGGGAGTCCCAGAGGATGCTCCTGGCTTTGGCCTGGCAAAGCCCGGCCATTTGAGAGGGAACCAGCAATGAAAGCTCTCTTTCTCACTCTCTCTTTCTCTTGTTCTAACTCTGCCTTTCAAATAAATCTTAAATTGCAAATAAGTATAGGAAAAGATGCTCAGTTATTATGGAAACAAATCAAAATCACAATGAGATGCTACCACACAATCAGTAGAATGACGACAATGCAAAGACTGACAATACCCAAGACACTGGTGAAGACCAGAGTACATAAACTACTGCTGGTAGAAATGCATAATAGGCAGCTGCTATGAAAAAACTGTGGCAGATCCTTAAAGAGGTAAACATATACCAACTATTTACCCCAGGAACCCACCAATAGATATTTATCCAAGATAAAATGGAAACATGTGACTATAAAAAGATCCAAATGTGAATGTTTATAGCAGTTTTATTCATAATAATTAAGACAAAAAAAAAAAAAAAAAACAGAAACAATCCAAAAACCCATCAAGTGGTGAACAGATGATCTGTGGCACATCTATAAAATGGAATACTATGCAGCAACAAACATGTATTTACTACTTATAACATGCAAGGTGAATGAATCTCAAAAGTGTAACACTAAGTTTAAAAAGCCAGATATAAGAGGACATATACCATAGGACCCCATTTATTTGACATTCTAGGAAAGGTAGAAAAATAATTTAAACATCAGTTCCGCAGCTATGAAAGACTGGGTCGGGGAGAGAAGATTGACTGGAGTGATGGCAATGTTCTATTAACTGACTATGGTAGTGGTTATATAACTATAAAATTGTGCCAAAATTGAAACTGTATGCTTAAAAACAATGAATTTTACTGTAGGATAATTACATCTCAAAAAACTTGGCTTTTATAAAATAGTTCTTTCAACCTAAAGCATGAATCTGACATTATTATTTTCTCATTGTTATGCCAGACCTAAGCTTTACTCGCAGCTCCACAGCTTAAGCAGAAGTGAGTCGGTGAGAAAATGGACACAAGCAGCCTTAAGTGGCAGGAGGGGAAAATCAGAGGGAAACAGGCAAGGATAATTAAATGTTTCTAAGACATACAGAAGGGGACTTTGCAACCACGTTGAGAAATTTTTCTTCTAAACATTTCCATGCAAGTCCAGTGGGCATCATTTTCTGTAGCAAAAGCTGGAAACTACTCATATCCATTAATGAGATGGCTACACAAATTACAGATATCAAATATATATAATTCTATGCATTTAAAGATTGAGACACAGTAGAGCTGTCCATGCTAAGAGTAAAGGACATGGAACTTTACTAAAAAAAGAAGAGAGGCAGAATGACAGACAGCTACAATGATCCCATTAGAAAACAAACAAACAAAAAAACAGTAAACTTGCACTTGTACAGGAAAGGTCTAGAAGATGTGTGTCTCGTGTTACCTATGTGAGCATGTGGAAAGCCGGGAGGAAGAAAGGAAAGAGTTGCAGTATTTTTACTTGTACAGTTCTGTTTTTTTCTAAAGATTTTTCAAAATTACTTTTGTAATAAAGATGAGTAAGAGGAGCTGGTATTGTGGTGTAGCAGGGAAAGCTGCCACCTGAGACACTGGCATCCCAAATGAGCACTGGTTCAAGTCCTATCTGCTCCACTTCTGATCCAGCTCGCCGCTAATGGCCTGGGAAAAACAGTGGAGAATGGCCCAGTGTTTGGGCCCCTGCCACCCACGTGGGAGACCCACATGATACTCTTTGCTCTGGCCCAGGGCTGGCTGTTGTGGCCATCTGTGCCGTAAACCAGCAGATGGAAGATCTCTCTCTTTCCTACTCTCTAAATCTGCCTTTTCAAATAATAAGTAAATCTTAAAAAGGAAAAATAACAGATAAAAAGATGAGTAAGAAGAAAAGGAAGAACAAGCAAAAGCTAGCCATAGAGAATGAAAACACTTGAGGTGTCATGCTGCCACCTTCTGGAACAATCAAGTATCTGCAGGAACAGAAATACATGTAAGCTGACCTCGGAAGGCAAACAAAACATCAAGGGTTACTTACTGCAGTGAAAAAACACAAAAAGACCATTTTGAAGTAAAGTTTTTGATTTAAGTATTAATGAAAAGAAATAGTTTAAAAAACAAACAAGTACAACCAAATGTAGAAATTACCTTTCCACAAATCTCATACAAACGAGACTTGGTGAGTATAACTTGCATCTAAATTGCTTTGATTTTTCCTACTACCTGTTCTTTTTAGGATAACTACTTATTTGTGATTTACAAATATCAACAGAACATAATGAAACATTTTGAAATTAACAGAACCTATAACTTATAATTTTAACTGTAGGTACAAGAAAATGAGAATAACTTAACTTTTGAAAGATCAAGCTCAAATTGATCAAAATGTTTCCCTTATTTTCAGGAGCATATTTTAAGCAATAAAAAAGGCATTTTTAAAATTTAAAAAATTCAAATACAACTGAGCTGAAGTATCACCATACAGTGGAGAAGAGAGATTAGGAAAAGCGTTTTTAGCCTTCATATTAAACCTGGGAGAACACAAACATTAAAAAACAAACAAACAAACAAAAAACCACCTCAAAACTTGAACAGCTTCCCTTGCTCAAGGTTTTTTTTTTTTCCTGTGCTTTTTAAATTACCAAAATTACAGAACTCTTAATTAGTTTTTTTTTTTTCTTTTGGTTTGCTTTCAGTGATACTGATTTGTCAAGTTACAGCATAGGACAAATGGAAAAAAAAGGGCCCTTAGTTAATTTACATGTAGAGATAAAAGAATGCTTGAAACAGTCCACCCTTGAGCAGAAGAAATTGGGGATCACTTTGAGTGTTAATGTAAAATACATTAGTCTTTAGCAGCAGGAGTTCCAGACCTGCCGGTGCCAAGAAGGTAACAAATAGTCTCGATCTGCCCGGGGAAATGGGCGGCTCAGCGGGAGCTTTCTTCCCTGTAGTGTTATTTATAGAGAGCCCTATTTGTTAACATGTTTCTGCTATCATGGCCAGGGAGAGCTTAATGATTTAAAGGATTTCAAAGACTATTGTTTAATGATACAATGATTTATGTGCATTCATAAATTCCAAATATACGGTGATTTAGATTTTCAAACTGCTATGACCAAAACAGCCATAGGAGATATTCCGAAAGTTTTAACAACAGAAACTGAGATAACTGATAGTGCCTAATACTATGGAATACAGTGAGCACTGGTGGAAAATACCATGTTAAGAAATCAGTAAACTAATGTTTTGGGGCCCCTGCAAGTAAAATTTGGCTTTCAAAAAATATTTTGAATGGAAAAACCATTCATTAAATTTTAAATTATCTAGGACTAACTTGAAGAATCTGGCTTCAAAACACTGATATATTGTTACCAAAATCTAATTCCCATTCCCTACCAAAGCATTTGAAATCCTGTTTGAAGAATGCTTTCATATGAGTTATTTCTAAATTATGCAGTAATTTATAGTGCCAGATTTCTAAAATTCTGGCTATTGAAAGATTTTCTGAAATTTCATGTTAAGAACTTGATTTTTTAACTATTAAAAATGTCATTGAGGCAGACAAAACAAGTTAACGTTTAACCCAGAGAAAGCAAATTTTGTAATTTCCATTTTTTCTCTTAAAATTTTTAACCAGTTTTTGGGCTACATTTCAAAATAAAAACCCATTTCACCCTTTAAACCATCAAACATGCATGAACTTCAGTTTTCATAAGCTTCCACTAATTATATGAATTTATCTTTTGTAAAAAAACCAAAAACGAAAAAAAAAAAAAAAACCTTGTTATCCAGATATACCACTCACTTCTACAGTGAGGCTTCTGTGTAAGTAAGTACTTACATGAAATCAAACACCAGACATACATTGTGGGTTCTAAAAACAATCCTTTTAGCACAACACTAACAGAACATTTACCATTTCAGGGGAGAACGGATTCGATAGAATGTTTTTTGAATGATGAAAAAATTAATTTGTTTCTATTTAAAAACAGGTTCAACTCAAATGATTTTATTTATCTGGAACGTAAGTAACAGCGAAATTGAACAAAGGAAGAGAAGCAAAAGGAAAGACTTTCAAGCATGGATGGTTACTTTCTTTTGCCAAGGGTCCCGCAGGAAATGTCCATTATTGCTCCAGTTCTCCACTATGTCCAACCCGTTCCAGGTCAGTGAGAGAGCTCTCTCCCTTCCCCTGGAGGAAGGTGCTTCTTCTGCAGCGCTTAGACTGAGCAGGAGCTTTAGTATTTGCAAGGGAGGACGTACAGAAGCTCTTCCTCCTCTTCTCAGGTAGATCAGAATGAGCAGTAGGGCTCTTGCTGTTTTCTCTACCTGAGCGGGAGGGCACTTGGCACCGGTTTCGCCTGGAGGATACAGTTTCTCTTCTGGGAGACATATCTTCAAACCCTCTGCTGTCAGATGTGCAGATTGTTCTCCTTTTGGTTTTTTGGGAAGTGAAAGGAAATGGAAGGGAAATCCATACAAGCCCTTCATTATCTGCATCTTTTTGTAGCCTTGTGCTGCGCCGCACTTTGACTTCACCATTTGTTCTATGAAAGCTTTGCTCTATGGCATCAGATAAATCTTCATAAAGTTTGGAATTCTCTAAGCTGATTCCTACAGGGCTGCCCGTGCTGTGGAAAGGTTTGTGACTTCTGCTTCCTTCTAAACGTAAATTCCGATCTTCAGAACAATACATAGAGCGCCTTCTCTGTTTCTTTTCGCTGCAAAATTTAACACTGCTATGTTCTGCGATTTCTATCCCCACATCCTCTCTTGGGCTTTTATATCCTTTTATGTTTTCAATTAAGGCATCTCCCAAATAATTATATTCATTTTGTGAGTCAGACATGAAATGATTGCACTGCGGCTTTCCCTCTGTGGCTACCAGGATGTCATCCTGTTTTTCACACTTTATTTCTTCTGAAATTTTAAAGACTTCACAAAGGCTTTCTTCATTTTGACCAGGAGCAGAAAGCTCATGGCACTTCAGGATAATATCAGGTTTGAGATTATCTGACACAACATGTTCTTTGGTCACAGAGGAACAAGAATTATGACTGTTTTCATTCTCATTCCCAGTATTTGATTCCATTTCATTTTCCAAATTATTTTCTGCTTTTGGAACATTTTTAATTTCACTAACATCCATAGTACTTGTATCAAATGATGAAGAACCTTTTATGTAAGAGCAGAATTCAGGCACATTACATTTATTAAAGCTTTGATTCATATGCAAATCTTCCGGGTTCTGAGGCAAAAGTCTCTTTCTTTTAACTGGATTTTTAGGAGGCTTCACTTCTTCAAGTTTACCATTTGAGTGGAAATCATCTATGGGCATGTAAATAAGTTTAAATCTAATTAAAAAAGTAACAATGAAAATAAACTTTAAATTCATTTAACAGGCTACCCTATAATCTATGTTTTAAAAGCTTTAAAAAAATCATAAGACCTACAAATGTTACACTGTACTTGTCTCCATCTATCACTGTCCTCCTTTAGTTCTTCCCCATGCACAAGAAAACAGGTATTCAATGCATGATTTAATAAAGCACACAACCTCAGACCATGACAATGAGAAGGTATCCTAGTCCTTCCTCCAGTCCATGGTACTTCCCACTCACTACAAGGTGCATTAGTGTGAGGCAGTCACATTTCCCATTTCCCTGAGAATGAATTATTGAAAAGGGGCAACATCGAGCTTCTGAAACTTTTCTAGCCATGTATTCCCTGAAAGAAAGAGAAAATCTGGAATTCCAGGGGATTTGAGAACTTAGTAAGTCACAGGGCAGGCTTGGACACTCAGCTCCCATGCTGAGTTTTAACAGTTAAAAAATTCCTACGAAGTGTACTGCATTCTCAATAAAGTCAGCTTGCTTCAGTTTTCTAAAACCCTGCTCCTTACTCCACAGACTTCAACAACCCTTCATCTTTCAGGAAGCTATGTATCATGTAGCTTTTTTGTGTCTATTTGGCATACCGTACTTGGAAAAACCATCATCAACATTTCCAAGATTCGTAAGTAACACAGTCTACTTGAGTTCAGGACTTATGAGTTCTAAATCTCAGTACCATCAGATGCTATCTCGTTATCTCAGATCATAATATTTTTAATTGGCCAATTTGATACAAAATATTTTTAAACAAAACCGAATTGAAAGATAAAAGAAGCTGAGCCAAAAGTCTAAAAAACAGTGTTTCATTTTGAATATATATTCATGATTAGGGTGCTTCAAAAAAAAATCACATCCTATAAAGTTAAGAGATTAATATAGGTCAGGGTCCACTAAATGTCAATCAATGCAGTAGGGCTCCTTATGTAGCCTCAAAAATTGGTATTTATGTATTTTTCATAAAATTCAACATACTAGAGAAAGAATATATGGGAGAAGGGGGAGAGGGAGAAAGAAAAAAACATTGTTTATAGATAAAGCTACTTCAGGTATTTTTGGAAAGAAATTATCTTATAGGATACAAGATGGAAAAATTATATGAGCAGTCATTAAAGATCTTTTGAAAAACTCCAGGAACTAAGACCTAGGAGTATAATGGAAACAGGTCTTAGTTTCCACCCTCAAGGAAGCTACAGCATGGGTGGGGAGGGGGATAGACAGAAAATAGATGATTGCAAAACCAAGTGATAAAGGTGTAATGCAAACAAAGAGAAGCAGCATTAGGCCAGACTAAAAATAGGTGGGGTGGCAGACCTCCTGTCCCAAGATACCCCACATGAAAAGTCAGGCAGGAGAAGAGTGTGAGCGTGTGTGAGTGTGTGTGTGTGTGTGTGTGTGACCATGGGAGGTGGTCGTTTATTTAAATCCTTGTTCTATACTGAATTTAAGAAGTATGCAGAAACACAGTCTATAGTGGCATATATTTATTCATCCACAAAAGCCTACAGATAATAAATCATGCACAGTATACTGCGAACAGAAGGCAGGCTATGACTGACAAAGGTAGCTATTTTTAAAGTAACTTTACATAGAATCAGCATACCAAATGGACATATTAATCCTCATTATTTTCAGCATGATGTACTTCATTCCATTTAAAACTTGGACATTACAAACCAAGAGTAACTCTAATCCATTTTTTATCCCATTATGATATCAACTGACTTGATTTTTGCTTATAAACAAAACTTTCAAGGTAATCAAGCTCAATTTATGAATATTATTTCTAGAAGATTCTTCATAGCGCCAACTTTAATTAACATCATGGGACAAGTTTTTGTTTGCTTTAAGAATCTTTGTTTTTTGTCCTTAACTCATCCTGTAAATCTATTACCAAGACATCACCTTGTTCAGTTTTAATGGTGGACTATACCACCAAATGGGATTCATTTTTAATAAAACTTTTTTAAAAAGGAACAGAATAACATAAATTGTTTCCCCTGAAGTTACACATAAAATCTTATGTTTCAGTTTTTCTAGAGAGGAGATGCGGAGATTCCATAAGAAAAGTCTAAACTGCTGACAAGTTACAAACTACTGCTTCCTTTCCTTAAAATTCTCATGGTAACAGTCCTTGGGTGTCCCATATCTCAAATGCTTGGAACCAGAAATACTTCATGTTTCAGATATTTCAAACATGGGGATATTTGCATAAACACAGTAGATATCTTGGGGATGAGACCCAGTCTAAACATTAAATTCATCCGTTTTATATGTAGCTTATAACTGTATACAATATTTTACATAATTTTGTGCATGAAACAAAGTTTCATGGTGTGAAATTTTCTACTTGTGGCTCAATGCTTCAGGGGCAGGTGTTTGGATTGGTGGTTAAGATATCTGTGTCTTCTATTGAAGTACTTGGGTTTGATACCTGGCTCCAGTTTTCTGCTAATGCAAACCCTGAGGGGCAGCTGATCCCAAGAGGCAACAGTGACAGCTTAAGTGATGGGGTTCCTGCCACCCATATGGGAGACCTGGACTGAATTCCCGATTCCCAGCTTTGGCCCTAGCCAAGGGTCCCTGTAGGCATTTGGGAATAAAGCACCAGATGGGGAGGATGGGAGAGTGTGCTTATGCTCTTTCTCTTTCTGTGGGTGTGTCTGTCTCTCTGCCTCTCAAATAAATAAAACAAACAAGAAAACGTTGTTTAGATTCGAGCTCAATCTGTATTACGAAATGTTGCTATTTTTTGTATGTATTCTTCACAGTGAATAGGAAAAAGAGAAAAAAGGAGTGATACAGCAGCAGTCATGTGAAGACGACTTAAAAATCTAAGAGGAAAGGATAGGATACCTGAACACATGCGCCAAGTGCTTGGAACTGAGGGTGTCATCTCAGAGACTTCGGGCAGCTCAGGAATCGGACTTAGGAGGGGCTTCTTAGAAGCAATGTCTCTTTCTCCATATAAAGATTTCTGAACTCCTTTCTTTCCCCTTCCTTTCTTCTTTCTGCAACTTTTTAAAACCTGAGAAAATGCATTAAAGCATCATGAGAAAGATAAAGTACCTTTGCAACTATGGTCTTTAATTTTTATAATATCTTTATTACTTTTCATACAATAATCTCTTTTTCCAAATATAATTTTTATAGAAAAACTTAAGCTCAGGTATTCCATTTAAAAATCTGGGCATTTAAACAAGGGTGAGAGAGAATAGGTAATTTAGACAAAATTGAATAAAATATGAAGGAAAGTTGATTAGAAATTTTATGGTGGCTTCCCACAAAGCATTTACCAAAATAACTGCTGGGTAAGTAAAAAAAAAAAAAAAAAAAAAAAAAACCAACCAAAAACAGGAGCCGGTGTTGTGGCATAGCCGGTAAAACCACTGCCTGCAGTGACAGTATCCCATATCCCATATGGGCACCGGTTTGAGACCCAGCTGCTCCACTTCTGATACAGCTCTCTGCTATGGCCTGAGAAAGCAGTAGATGATGGCCCAAGTGCTTGGGACCATGCACCCGCGTGGGAGACCCGAAGAAATTCTCGGCTCCTGACTTCAGATCCGCATAGCTCCAGCTGTTCTGGCCAATTGGGGAGTGAATCAGTGGATGGAGGACCTCTCTCTCTCTCTCTCTGCCTCTCCTTCTCTCTGTGTGTAACTCTTTCAAATAAATAAATCTTTAAAAAAAAAAAAAACCTACAGATTAGATGCTGGAGAGCTGGCCAGACTTAAGACATGAAATATTTGTAATCAGGATGTCGACACAGTGATTCAAGATTAATCTAACCTCATACTAGAACGCTATTGGTGGACTATTTTCTGCTCATACATCTGGTGAAAAAAAAATAGGTGTATACATAAAAGACAAAGACAACACAAGACTCACTGAATGGATTCAAACAACATGAATCAATCAAGATTAAAAGGAATAAATCAAAATAAGATTTTATCAAGTACAAGTAGAAATGGAGAACAATGATTTGGCCTTAATCAATGGATAGTAGTACAATCAGCCTATTATATCCAAGGGTTCTGTACCCATGGATCACCCAACCACAGATCACGTACTCTGTAGCTAGGGCCACATTGTTATTTCTGTACTGAACACACACAGCCTTTTTTCTAACCATTATTCCCTAACAACACAGTATAACACTACTTACACAGCATTTACATTGTATTAAGTATTATAAGTCATCATGAGATAATTTAATGTATATGAAAGGATGTGCACAAGTTATCTGAGAGGTCTTCTGAAAGTAATAAATAAAACTGCATAGATTTCAAAAATTTTATATATCAAAACAAGCTTATCTTTCAATTCAATGTACCCATAAATTTTCTGAAGTACTCTCATATGTAAATACTATGCCAATTTATAACAGGGACTTGAACATCTGTGGATTTTTTAATCTCTGTTGGGGGGTGGGCCTTGGGACCAATCCTCTGTGGATAAAAATGGACGACAGCATTACATTCAATTATGAGTGCTATGGCAGCAACTGAGACATAATGTTCTATTTTTTTTTTTTTTTTAATTTCAGAAGGAAAAGACTTCAGGGAAACTCAAACACAATGTTGAAACACTAGAAGGAAAGGCTATAATGATCAAAAGGAATCAAAAATAATAACACCTCAAAGAAATGGAATTAATAGATACATTAATTTCGGTTCAAAAAAAATCTGAAGTCCACATATAAGAGAGGTCTTTAAAATGTTGATGAATAATGAGTATTATATCCTTTTCATTTCACTTTTCACAAACATTCTGAAGTACCCTGGAGTTGAGCAGTAGTAGTTCAGTAATCTAGGTGTAGAATCTGACACCAAGATGAGATCTTTAAGGAGCTCCTGGTCTGATGGCAAACACAGACATACCATGATGGTAGTAACACATACACACCATGATAATCTGTGCAGACTGAGAAGATGGGTACCTGGTTTAAGGAAGGTTCTCAAGATAGGTTTCACTGAAATCTTAATGTCCAACTCAAACCTCAAACCAGAGAGAACTGTTCTAGCTGATTACTGAGCTGGGGCAGAAGGGCTTTTCAAAGGGTAAGAAATGCCATATGCATGAGCTCAAAGTGGGGGCAGCACAGTGCAACCAGGTGCTATAACGCAGCAGTTAAAGCTGCATATAGGAATGGCAGAAGCTAAGACAGTTGAAGGACCCTTGTATGTGATTAATCAAATGAGTACAATAAGGGTTCACTACAATGTGAGTTTTGAAATAACCACATTGGAGCCTACATTGAAGAAAGAACATTTGGGTGTCAGCATACAAAATGTTGGTGAAACTAATGGTGTGAAAGAGTAAATGAGATTCAATAATACAGAAATGGCAGGGAACTGGGTGTTCTTTGAGATATCTATAGAAATTCTCTAAAAACAAGACATTCCATGGAAAAACAATTTTAGAACTGTACAAGAATAATGTTCTGTTGATTTATAATATACATTTAACATTAAATCCTCTGAGAAGTTCTCAGAATAAATAATCTCTATATACATTAGGAACATACTGGGTTAAATAGGTTTCCATTAAATATATTTTTTCATGGAACATCTGTTGAATTCCATGGAACAGTTGGGGAAACACTGCCTCAGGGAATTGATGTGGAAGCCAAGAGAAAGAAAAATCTTAACTTGGGGTTCACAGATGAGCAGCAAAAGAGAAACATTTGACCTCTGGTGCTACACCCCTGGGATCCAAATCTAGACTATTCCACTTAACTGCTTTATAATCTTATGCCAAGTCACCTCAATTCTTTGAACCTTAATCGCCTGCTTGCAAAATCACAACAGCACATTTCGCATAAAGCTGTGATGAGTATAAAATGAATTAACCAACTGACCCACAGTACGAACAGTATGTTATTCCTATTACTTTGAGAACTGGTAGGGAGAAAAAAAGAAACGTTGTTAGTAGAAAAAAAACGTGTATTTTTATGGAATACAAAATGGTGTTGTGATAAATATATATTATGAAATAGTTAAGTCCAGCTAATTAATATCTAGCTTTTAATACAATGTAGTGCTAATATTATTGTAGATGCTATAGTTTAAATGAGGTTTTTTCCTCCAACATTCATGTGTACTTATAGAGTAACAAAGCCACACAGCCCAGAAATGGTTACACTGCTTTATGACTTGGAGCAGACAAAGGACAATTTAAGGTACTGCCCTCAAAGTGATCCCATTTACTCCAGAATCACTGCTATTTCTCATAAAGTCATGACAAAATGGTCATCTTTTATTCAAATAATTCAGACTTACTTAAATTCCTTTGAGAGATAACAGCTTTAAAGTTACTTTAAAAATACTTCATGTGTATGCCAACAAATTCCATTTTTCAGGGAAGGTTATGACACTTTCCTACTTCCCTCCTTATATACTACCTAGTATATATTTACTGGTTAGCTCCATCTCAGTTAACAAGGGGCACACATAGCTCTATTTTTTTTTACTTTCTTGAAGGGAAGATTTTACACACTCAAAAAGTAGACAGAATACTATACTGAATTCCATGTACTCATCAACCAATTCAAACGATTATTAACATGTATAAATCACGAATCATCTATTTACCCCAAATTATTTTAAGGCAAATCCTAGACATTCCGTACGAAAATCCTACTCTCTAAAAGATAAGGCTTTTATTTTTCTGATTAAAACTGTACAATTATGAGTTAACAATAAAGAGAAACTAGTACACTTAACAAACTGGATAGATCTCGAAAGAATTACGCTGAGTGAAAACAGTCCCAAAAGTTATAGTATATGCCTCCACTTTTACAACATTCTCTAAATGACAAACTTAAGGAAATGGAAGAGATGTATGGTTGCCAGGAGGTGAGGAAGCATTAGGGGTGGGAAGTGTATGTAGCCTAAGAAAGGTAACAGGAGAGCTTTGTGGCAATGGAAATATTTTTTAAGTTGACTACAGTTTTGCAAGTCACCACTCGGGGAAACTGGGTGAAGGGCACATGGGATTCTCTATACTATTTCTTATAAGAACATATGATCTCAAAATACAAAAACATCATAATGACACCAATTTTCCCTCATATATCCAAATTTCTCCAACTGGCTGGCCACTAAATGCCTCTACAACACTTCAGCTTAGAATCCCAGTAAGATCTCCACATATTCCATTTGGTTGTTGTATCTTGTCTCTTATTCTATGGATCCTCCTCTTCTCCTCTTGAAATCCACTCGATGAATAAACTGAGGTATCTGTCTTGACTATCATCATTATCTCTGCGCTCCTCTATCTCCTGTACATCCTAAAAACTAAACTACAACTAGCAGTTTGATTAGATTCCACTTTGACAAATCAAAATAACTTGCAAAATTTGTATAAATGACAAAATTACATGTTTTATGGTATACAGTGTGATACTACAATAGATGTATAAATTGCAATGTTTCAATCGAGCTAATCAACACGTCTATCACTTCATATACTTAGCATTTTTTGTGGTGAGAATACATCCTTTTAGTCACATTTTGCTCCATAGAGTTCCAGAATTTACTCATACTAACTTAAACCTTGTTCTCTTAACCAACACCTCCCCAACAACCTGCCAGCCCCTGGCGCCACAAAATTCTACTCTCTGCATCTATGACATTGACTTTTTTAGATTCCACATTGAGATCATGCAGTATTTATCTTTCTGTGCCAGGCCGATTTCAATTAGTAGAATATCTAGGTTCATCCACGCTGTCACAAAAAATAGTACTTCCTCCTTCTTTATGGCTGAATAGTATTTCACATTGTATATACACATTTTCTTTAACCATTCATCCATCAGTGGAAACCTAGGTAATCTAAGTACTGTGAATAGAGCTACAAAAAGCATCAAAATGTAGATGTCTCTTTGGCATATTGATTTCATTTTGTTTGGAGATTATATCTATCTATCTATATCTATATATATAATCTATATGGAAGCAGGATCACATGGTAGTTGTATTTTTAATTTTTTGAAGAAACTTCAACCCTTCCCATAATGGCTGC